GAGAGAGGCTTGGAACTCAGGAAGCTGGGACAGTGTCATCCACCAATTGTTGAGGCTTGGAGCACACTAAGCTGGGGCTGCACTAATCCAAACAAGCTCAGTGTGGTCAGACGTTTGACATTTTTACTGTGGAACTGGTATGTGCTATTTGACATAATGTTTTACAGGAAGTGTGTTTAACAGAGAAATCTAGGAAGAGCAGAACGAAGTTAAGACTGCTTCCAGACAGTAAACATTGTACTTGAGATATTTTTTTACATACAAGATTAGGTGGGCGAGACCTATTTGCTCCAGGTGGGAGAAAAGAGGATTAAGGAGCGCTGTCATTTTTTCTGTCTATTATTGTCAATTTTGCCCAGAAACTGATAGGAGTTGGTCAGCAGCTCCAACTAGCATTTAGTGCGATTTACATTGTATACTATTGGACCCTTTACACTTATGCTTGTTGACACATTTGTGTGCGTTCAAGCAGCCCATTTATTTTGATATGAATGTAGACGCACCTTATCTCAGGAAAGACAGTCGCAGCATTTTTAGCATTAAAGCTCATGTACATTAAGAAGTTCAGTGCATCCAGAAAATATTCACAGCGCTTAACTTTTGCCACATTTTGTTATGTTACAGCCTTATTCCAAAATAGATTAAATTCATTTTTTTCCTCAACACTCTACTACAATACCTCATAATGACAATGTAAATGAATTTTGTTTTGAAATCTTTGCAATTTATTAAAAAGAAAAAAATGAAAAAAAAAACATGTCCATAAGTATTCACAGCCTTTGCCATCACACTCAAAATTGAGCTCTGGTGAATCCTGTTCCCACTGATCATCCTGGAGCTGTTTCCACAACTTGATTGGAGTCCACCTGTGGAGAAATTCGGTGATTGGATATGATTAGGAAAGGCATAAACCTGTCTATATAAGGTCCCACAGTTAACAGTGCATGTCAGAGCACAAATCAAGCCATGAAGTCCAAGGAATTGTCCATAGGCCTCCAAGACATGATTGTATCAAGGCACAGATCTGGGGAAGGGTAGAGACAGAAATATTTCTGCAGCATTGAAGGTCCTAATGAACACAGTGGCCTCCATCATCCGTAAATGGAAGAAGTTTGGAACCACCAGGAATCTTCCTAGGGCGGGCCGCCTGGCCAAAATGAGTGATCGAGGGAAAAGAGCCTTATGCCGGCCATAGACGGTTTGAAAATCGGCCAATTTTCGCACTGTTAGTGGGTTAATTGGTCGGCCGGTTTTCGGGTTTTTTGCACATTTTTTTTTTTTTCGGTCATGTTGGAAAATTTGCGGCCGATTTTGACGATCGCCCGATTTTCCCGGCAATGATGGGCAAATCAGCTGTTCTTTTTACCGATATAAAATCCGTGCATGAGCCGTGACCTGCAAGGGACAGAAGTTATGGGGTGAACTTTATGATTTTGTCGGCCGATTTTTTTTTTTTTTTTTTTTTTTTTACCGATGGTAACGTCGGCCGAACGAACGATCAATTTTTCGGTTTTTTTTTTTTTTTCGAAAAATTGGCAGATGTTCGACCCGTCTATGGCCTGCATTAGCCAGGGAGGTAACCAAGCACCCAATGGTCACTCTGAAAGAGCTCCAGCATTTCTCTCTCTGGAGAGAGGAGAACCTTCCAGAAGAACAACCATCTCTGCAGCACTCCACCACTCAGGCCTATATGGTAGAGTGGCCAGACAGAAGCCACTCCTCAGTAAATGGCAAATGGCAGCCCACCTGGACTTTGCAAAAAAGCACCTGAGGGAGTCTCAGACCATGAGAAACAAAACTCTGGTCTGATGAAACAAAGATTGAACTCTTTGGCCTGAATGCCAAAGCGTCATGTCTGGAGGAAACCAGGCACCGCTCACCACCTGGCCAATACCATCCTTACAGTGAAGCATGGTGGTGGCAGCGTCATGCTGTGGGGATGTTCTTCAGTGGCAGGAACTGGGAGACTAGTCAAGATCGAAGGAAAGATGAATGCAGCAATGTACAGAGACATCCTTGATGAAAACCTGTTTCAGGGCTCTCCGGACCTTAGATTAGGGCAATGGTTCATTTTTCAACAGGACAACGACCCTAAGCACACAGCCCACATAAGAAAGGAGTGGCTACAGGCCAACTATGTGAATGTCTTGGAGTGGCCCAGACGTCAACCCAATTGAACATCTCTGGAAAGATCTGAAAATGGCTTTGCACCAATGCTCCCCATCCAACCTGATGGAGCTTGAGAGGTACTGCAAAGAAGAACGGGTGAAATTGCCCAAAAATAGGGTGTGCCAAGCTTGTAGCATCATACTCAAAATGACTTGAGGCTGTGATTGGTACTAAAGGTGCTTCAACAAAGTATTGAGCAAAGGTTGTGAAAAACTTATGTACATATTTTTTTCATCATTTATTTTTAATAAATTGCAAAGATTTCAAAACTAACTTCTTTCGTGTTGTCATTATGGGGTATTGATTGTAGAATGTTGAGGAAAAAAATGAATTGAATCCATTTTGGAATAAGGCTGTAACATTATTATTATTATACTGCAGTATTTATAAAGCGCCAATAGTTCGCCCAGCGCTGTACACTACAAAGGGTGACAGAACATGTGACAGAACAATACCAATACAATGCAAAATATGAGGGGATCGAGGGCCCTGCTCTTTCGAGCTTACAATCTAGGAGGGAGGGGATGGTGGCACAGGAGGAGATAGCTGTGGGGGATGGAGTGGTAGGAAGAGTGGAGGAGGTCGACAAGTTAGCAGGGGGTGGGGTAGGCTTCCCTGAAGAGATGGGTTTTCCAGGGTGCGCCTAAAGGAGAGGAGAGTAGGTGATAATCTGATGGGTTGGGGCAGGGAGTTCCAGAGGATGGGTGACGGAGATAGTCCTGGAGGTGGGCATGGGAGGAGGAGACCAGGAACTAGAGAAAAGGAGGTCTTGTGAGGAGCGGAGTGTGCGTGCTGGGCGGTACTTGGATATTAGGTCAGTGATGTAGTTCGGGGCAGTATGGTGGACAGCTTTGTACGTCAGTGTTAGGATTTTAAATTTGACATAACATAACAAAATGTGTCAAAAAGTTAAGCGCTGTGAATACTTTCTGGATGCACTGTACATGTGTGCTGGGATGCCATACTAAATAATGGTGCTATAATATTTTACCATCTGTAAAAGCTTAATAATAAGTTGCCCATTACAACTACATTTTTTATATCTCATTAGGACATAAAAACCTTATTGGTTCCGATTTTCCACCAGTTTTTTTGAAAATTGAGTCAGTGTATGCAGCCTGTAGAAAATCTTTACTAGCAAAGCACACTATGTAGTGGTTGTTTTATTCAATTTTCATGAGGTCCTGAAGCGTCTTTTTGCTATTTTTTTTTTTCTCTTTCCCATCAATTTCATGCACTAGTTACCACAATGTATGGTAACACACATTATCATGATGCAGTGCCATTTATCCTGATTGGCAGCCAACACACCTTCCTGGCAGATGTTTGTTGCATAGCACTGCAAAAATGCTACATGCACCTTATTTAATGCATTAAGCAGCTTGTTCAAATGAATAGGCTGCTTTAATGCAATGCAGCACAATGGTGTGAATGGGCCCTCAATAAAAACACTTATATTAAAATATGTTGGTGAAGATTTTGATACATCTGAACATTTAGAGGATGCGATCTTCAGTGCACCCTGAAGACATACACTGCTCAAAAAAATTAAAGGAACACTTTGAAAACATTTATTTCAATTAGGAAAAATACTATACTATATACTGATATGGACTGGGTGATAGGAACTTAAGGATGCCCCATCGTTTGATGGAAACTTAAATTATCAACCTACAGAGGACTGACTTCAAAGACACCCCCAAAATCAAAGTGAAAAAATGATGCAGCAGGCTAGTCCATTTTGCTGAAATCTCATTGTAGCAACTCAAAATGGCAGTCAGGGTGCCATTATCTAGCCTGTAGAGGTCTGTGCATCCCTCCGTGGATATGCCTCACCAGCCCATCACTGACCCCACCACCAAAACGATGCTGAACAATATTACAAGCAGCGTAACATTCTCCACGGCTTCTCCAGACCCTTTCACGTCTGTCATGTGCTCAGGGTGAACCTGCTCTCATCTCTGAAAAGCACAGGGCACCAGTGGTGGAGGTCATTTTGTAGGGCTCAGGCAGTGCTCATCCTGTTCCTTCTTGCACAAAGAAGCAGATACCTGTCCTTCTGATGGGTTAAGGACCTTTTACGGCCCTGTCCAGCTCTCCTAGAATAACTGTCTCCTGGAATCTCCTCCATGCTCTTGAGACTGTGCTGGGAGACCCAGCAAACTTTCTGGCAATGGCATGTATTGATGTGCCATCCTGAGGAGTTGGACTGCCTGTGCAACCTCTGTAGGGTAAAGGGATCGCATCATGCTACCAGTAATGACATTGACCCTAGCCAAATGCAAAATGGTCAGAATAGATGAGTAGGGATAAAATTGTCAGTGGCCTCCACCTGTAAAACCATTCCTGTTTTGGGGGGTGTTGTCTCAATGTTGCCCACCTAGTGCACTTGTTGTTAATTAACACCAAAGCAGCTGAAACTGATTAGCAACCCCCTCTGCTACTTAACTGGTCAGATCAATATCCCAGGAGTTTAATTGACTTGATGCTGTACTCTGATCAAAAAAGCGTTCCTTTAATTTTTTGTGCAGTGTACAAAACATATTTTTATACTGTGTTTTTGAGCAACCAATGTTCTGCCTTCGCAGTATATGGAAACTGCAGTTGCAGTTACATGTATAGCCTAGGTCAGGGGTATCCAACCTGTGACCCACGGGCTGCATGTGGCTGAAGATGAATGACTATGAATGTGGCCCAACACAAAATTGTGAACTTGCTTAACCACCTCCCGCTCGCCATATAGTCTAATGACGGGCGCAAGGTGGTTCTCTCGTTCTGAGAGGACGTCATATGACATCCTCCCATTCTCACTGCGCATGTGCGGCTCGGCACAGCAGATCACCGATCATGGAAAGAGCCGAAGATGTCGGCTAGGTCATGTGATCAGCTGTGTCCAATCACAGCTGATCACATGTAAACACGGAAATGCCGGTTATCGGAATTTCTCTCCTCTCGAGCTCTCACGCTGACAGCTTGAGAGGAGAGGAGAGCCGGTAATCGGCTTTCTGCAGAGGGACATGTACTGTACACTGATCATCAGGGCACTGATGATCAGTGTAGCCACAGCAGTGCCACCTGTCTAAGTCCATCAGTGCTAGCTGTCAGTGTCGATCAGTGCCATGTGCCAGTGCCACATCAATGCCACATATCAGTGCATACCAGTGCACATCAATACCACATATCAGTGCCCATCTGAGCTGCCTTTCAGTTGCATTCGTCAGTGCCACCTAATCAGTGCAACCTATCAGTGCCAGTCAGTGCTGCTTATCAGTGTGCATCAGTGCCAGTCAGTGCCACCTAACAGTGTCAGTCAGTGCTGCCTAACAGTGCCATATATCAGTGCCATGTATCAGTGCTGCCTTTCAGTGCCCATCAGTGATGCCTGTCAATGCCCATCAGTGCCACCTACCAGTGCCTCCTCATCAGTGCCACCTATCAGTATCCATCAGTGCAGCCTATCAGTGCCCATCACTGCAGCCTCATTAGCGCACATCAGTGAAGGAGAAAAATCACTTATTTACAAAATTTTATAACAAACACTAAGAAAAAACTTTTTTGTTTTCAAAATTTTCAGTGGTTTTTGGTTTGTTTAAGAAAAAATAAAAAAACCCTGAGGTGATTAAATACCACCAAAATAAAGCGATATCTGTCACAAAAAAAAATGATAAAAAGTTCATATGGGTACAGTTTTGCATGATCGCGCAATTGTCATTCAAAGTGCAACAGCACTGAAAGCTGGAAATTGGCCTGGGCAGGAAGGGGGTATAAGTGCCCTGTAGGCTAGTAGTTAAAAAAAAATTTTTTTTTTTTTGGGGGGGGGATTTTTTGTTAAAATGCATTTAAACTTAGTCTAGAAACAAAGTCAAATTTTTCTTTGGCTGCACGTATTCACTAAATTTTATCTTCCCATAGAAAATTATCCCACTCTTCACAATCACACCTTGTTAATGTCATTAGTTTTCGGAATCTTTGTGAGCAACCATTTTCAAGGATGAAGTAAATGAAGAGCAAAATTCGTACAAAAATATCTTGAGATTTCAAGAGAAATCTTGAGATTTCAAATCAGCTACGGTGATACCTCGGATCACGAACGCTTCTGTTCACGAACAACTCGGTTCGTGAACAGAAGAGTTTGCAAAAATTTGCTTTGGTTCGCGATCTCCACTTCGGTTGACGAACATGAGCTGCGGCCATCTTCCCTGCTCTGATATATGGCCCTGACTTCCTGTAGGCGAGATCGTGGTCACAGACAGACACTGAAAGTATACTGTGAAGATACAGTACTAAGAAGCTTTTTGATGTGCTTTTTAGCACATACTGTACAGTACTGTACTGTACATCCCTGTGCATGCGTGCTGTAAAGCTTTTTTGTGTGCTTTTTTAGCACATACTGTACCGGACATCCAGTATAGCTCCAAAGAAAATTCAGAGCAAGCATGGTGGTAAGAAGAAAGTGCGGAGCGGTAATGAAGGTGAGAAGAATGTGCAGAGCAAGCATGTTGTTGTAAAGAAAGTGCAGAGCGGTAATGAAGGTGACAAGAATGTGCAGAGCAAGCATGTTGTTAAAAAGAAAGTGCAGAGTGGTAGTGAAGGTAACCAGAAGCACCACCCCCAACATAACTATAACGAACAAAGTGTTTAATCTGATGAACTATAACGTGGTCTCTCATTTCCGGAGGGTTATGCAGTGTAGGAAAAGACAATTGAGATTGGACGGATTTTTCACCAAAACTGAGCCTGCAGCTAAGAGACAAATAAGAAAGCGGAAACCCCTGAAGGAAATCTCCCCAATGTCCTTATGGAGGGGGACTCTCCCTCCAAATAATAAAAGCCTCCCCCCTGCCTTCCTGTTCTCCATGCCAGAAGATGTCTCAAGCAAGGTTAGTGTTCTCTCTCTTCATACCGTACTGTACTGTACTTTGTTTTATATTTTTGTGGTTCAAAAACAAAAAAGTTCACAGGATTGACCTTATGGGAAAATTTGATTCGGTTGGCGACCAAATTAGGTTTGTGACCTCGTTGGTAGGGATCAGAATGGATTAACCTGATTTACAATGATCCCTATGGGAAAATTTGCCTTGGTTCACGACCAATTTGGTTTCCGACCAGAGTCGTGGAACGAATTAAGTTCATGAACCGAAGTATTACTGTATTGATTAGTTTAGTTTGATTGATTTGATTAGTTTATCAAAAACAGTGTCAAGTATCACACTCGTTTTATGTTGCCCGCTATTACTTTTATAATAAAAAGTATTACAAAAAAATTAAGTTTTATTACTAGATAGGTACATTATGTATATCAGTGATCATTAACTTGTGATCTGCCCGACTTTCTGCTCATCGGCTATTCTTAATGTTACAATTCTTTCATTGTGGCTCTGGAAAGTCAAAAGGTTTGAAACCCCTGGCCTATGTTGTCCTCTGGTTAATCGTTCATTATGCTTTTACCTTGATATTTATCTGTATTGCATGATACTTTCTCTATGGACTTTTGTAATACTTCCTACTTTACAGGACTTTACAGGACACACATTGGGGCTAGGAAAGCCAATACTCCTTTCTGACTGCCTAAAACACTTCTATGTCAGGCCTTCCGCAACTTATTGTATTGCCACTAAATAAAGACATTCGTGGATTTCAAGTGTTTTGGTGAGTTCACCTATCTGCCGAAAGTTGTTTGCGGTGGGTGTCTGTGCTATTTTCAGGACAGGCATAGAGGTGTCAGGAAGTTTTAGTCACTATAACAACAATTGGAGTCAGAACAACTGATGTACAGTGGACATAAAAAGTATACACACCCCTGTTAAAATGTCAGGTTTCTGTGATGTAAAAAAAAATGAGAGGTAGATAGATTTCAGAAATTTTTCCACCTTTTAATGTAACCTATAAACTGTACAACTCAGTTGAACAACAAACTGAAATCTTTTAGGTGGAGGGAAGTAAAAATGAAAAACTACAATAATATGGTTGCATAAGTATGCACACCCTTAAACTGACACTTTGTTGGAGCACCATTTGATTTTCTTACAGCACTCAGTCTTTTTGGGTATGAGTCTATCAGCATGGTACATCTTGACTTGGCAATATTTGCCCACTCTACCTTTCAAAAACACTCCAAATCTGTCAGATTGTGAGGGCATCTCCTGTACACAGCCCTCTTCACATCACCCCACAGATTTTCGATCAGATTCAGGTCTGGGCTCTGGCTGGGCCATTCCAAAACTTTCATCTTCTTCTGGTGAAGCCATTCCTTTGTTGATTTGGATGTATGCTTTAGTCGTTGCCATGCTGAAAGATGAAGTTCCTCTTCATGTTCAGCTTTCTAGCAGAAACCTGAAGGTTTTGTGTCAATATTGACTGGTATTTGGAACTATTCATAATTCCCTCTACCTTGACTAAGGCCCCAGTTCCAACTGAAGAAAAACAGCCCCAAAGCATGATGTTGCCACCACCATGCTTCACTGTGGGTATGGTGTTCTTTTGGTGATGTGCAGTGTTGTTTTTGCGCCAAACATATCTTTTGGAATTATGGCCAAAAAGTTCAACCTTGGTTTCATCAGACCAGAACACATTTTCCCACATGCATTTGGAAGACTTCAGATGTGTTTTTGCAAAATTTAACTGGGCTTGGATGCTTTTCTTCATCAGAAAAGGCTTTCATCTTGCCACTCTACCCCATAGCCCAGACATATGAAGAATACAGGAGATTGTTGTCACATGTACCACACAGCCAGTACTTGCCAGATATTCCTGCAGCTCCTTTAACCACTTGCCTACCAGGCACTTATACCCCCCCTTCCTTACAGGCCAATTTTCAGCTTTCAGCGCTGCCGCACTTTGATTGACAATTGCGCGGTCATGCAACATTGTACCCATATGAAATTTTGATCATTTTTTTCTCACAAATAGAGCTTTCTTTTGGTGGTATTTAATCGCCACTGGGCGCTTTACTTTTTGCGCTATAAATTAAAAAAAGTGCAAAAAATTTGAAAAAAAAAAAGAGTTTATTTGTTTCTTTTATAAAATTTTTCAAACAGGTATTTTTTCTCCTTCACTGATTTGGGTTGATGAGGCGGCACTGATGGGCACTGATAGGCGGCACTGATGGGCACTGATAGGCAGCACTAAAGGGCACTGATAGGCAGTACTAATGAGGTGGCACGGATAGGCGGCACTGATAGACAGCACTAATTAGGGGTCACGGATAGGCGGCACTGATATGCAGCACTGATAGGCGGCACTGATAGGTGACACTGATGATGGGTACTGATAGACGGCACTGACTGGCATCACTTCTGGGCACTGACTGGCGGCACTGACTGGCACAACCCCTGGGCACTGACTGGTGGCACTGACTGGCAGCACTGCTGGGGCTGCACTGGTGGGTGGCACTGGTGGGCAGCACTGGTGGGTGGGCACAGGTGGGTGGCACTGGTGGGCACAGGTGGGTGGCACTGCTGGGCACATGTAGGTGGCACTTCTGGGCACAGGTAGGTGGCACTGCAGAGTGGCACAGGTGGGGGCACTGCTGGGAACGGGTGGGGCGGGGCTAGTGGGCGCACTGCTGGGTGGAACTTGCGGGTGTCACTGCTGGGCACCGATCATCAGGGCACTGATCATCAGTGCCCTGATGATCGGTGCCGATCCCCGCTCTGACAACTGCCGGTTCTCGGCAGTACTTTCCTCACGATCTGACAGCGTGAGGAAAGTGCAGCCGAGAACCGGCACTTGCATTTCCCTGTGATCAGCGTGTCATTGGACACGTAAGACACAGCGATCACGGAGATCGCCGGGTGCGCGCCCCCTGGGGCGCGCAGGAGAGCGCGTTCTGGGAGGACGTCATATGACGTCCACTCAGAACTGGCCGGCCGGTGAAGCCGTCATTCGGCTATGCGCGGTCGGCAAGAGGTTAATGTTGCTGTAGGCCTCTTGGTAGCCTCCCAGACCAGTTTTCTTCTTGTCTTTTCATCAATTTTGGAGGGACGTCCTCACTGTGTTCCATGGTATATCTAATTCCTTGGAAATTCTTTTCTACCCTTCTCCTGACTGATGCCTTTTAACAATGAGATCCCTCTGATGCTTTGGAAGCTCTCTGCGGACCATGGCTTTTGCTGTAGGATGAGACTAAGAAAATGTCAGGAAAGACCTACTATAACAGCTGAACTTTATTTGGGGTTAATCAGAGGCTCTTTAAATGATGGCAGGTATGTACTGACTCCTATTTAACATGATTTTGAATGTGGTTGCTTAATTCTGTACATAGCTACATCCCCAGTTATAAGAGGGTGTGCACATTTATGCAACC